GCCAAAGCTCAACAGACCCTTATCTTTACAATATACAAAAAAAAACCCCTCAAGTTAAAAGTTTCATGACAATGGTCCTGACAATGACTTCATGGATGTGAGACCAAGAAGTGCAGGCAAAAAAAAGAAACTAAGGAAGGGAGGGAGGGAGGGAGAGAAGGAAGGAAGGAAAAAAAAGGGGGGGGGATTGCTCCAAACTGAAGAGCTTCTGCCCAGCAGGAAAAAAAAAATCAATAAAAAAATGTCTGCCTAGCCTTTTTTACTGCCCTATATTTGTTGCTTGTCTTATTGTTCTTCACGCACGAGTGCACACACACACACACACACACACACACACATACACACACACACACACTATTCAATTGATGACCCTATGACTTGCAGGATCAAAGCCAGAGGTTGATTCTTACATTGGTGATTTGGGGCGGGCAGTGGGAAGTGTGGGAAGAAAGCAAGTTGGAAGACAAGAGGAAAAAAGAACTGTAGACAAGCTTCCCAGGAAATTTCCCAGCCTTGGATACCAGGGGATAACTGGTTTCATGTTGATTCTTAGTTTGGAGAAATCAATATAATGATTCACAGTGAAATCAGCTCTCTGTTCCATGGGAGAAATATTTCTGTAAAAGGCAAATAATTGTTTGGCTGCTTTTCATTGTGGGTGTTGCCCATCACCATAGACATTGTCACCTGAGTGATGTACAGTTGTCACTGACTTCTTGAACCATATTTGCACAAGCTAACTGCATTCCCAGACTAGAAGCTAAACATGCTGAAGAATTAAATCATGGAAGCACCTTACCTGAGACAATACAAATACAAAATCAGGGCAGAAATGATGAACAGGAGAATGTAAAGTAGCATCGTGATCATCACACCAAGAATCCCCAGCTGCCTGCTTCTTACAAACGCCCAGTAGAGCTTGGCTGCATCGGCTATAGGCATCTCCCCATCAGGTGTAAGCCTCTGACAGAAGAAAACAGATTAAAAGAGAAGGGATGGAAAATGATTTTCAACTTAGATTAATATAAAGACTCTATGATACCATAATTTGTTTTTAAATTAAATCTTCTAACAACTAAAAATTGCCAGATCTTTAGCTGCACAAAGGAAAAGAAAATAGGCTAGGGTTTTGCATGCTTGGTTTACTGGGTTTTTCTTATTTTCCCCACTAAGCTTTTAAATGCATGCACTCGACATGCAATTCATGAAGCAAAAGCCATGTTTTATTTATGTGCTATTAACTTCTGAATTTAATGAGCACAAGATATGAAGAAATTAAATATGATGGTGGAAAGATTCCTTTATTTCTGAAGCAGATTTGATAGGAATTTAATTTGTGCTATGCATAAAAGAGATGGCTTATTTTAGAAACTTATAAAAAAGTTATCAGGCTATTTAATATGAGCTTGAAAACCAAAGTTTACATTAATTTAACTTAAAGATAAGCCCTTTTTTTTTAGACAAGGAAAAACATATTCTATATTGGGTTATAAATGAATGCCAGGCAATGGGATCTTCAAAGACAAATACAAATTACTAAGGACCTATGGAATCATCATATTGCAACATTGACCTTGAGCTTTATAGAATATGTATTCTTTAGTTGATTCCTATCACATCAACTGGAAGGATTATGGAATATAAATGTTAAATAATGTATCTTTTCTGCAAGACAAAAGAAACAGAATATTTTTTTGAGTGTTTTTAAACTGATAAGTATATAAGTAGAGCTTAAAGAGGCACTTTTAAATGTAGTTAATCCAAATCACATATGTGTAAAAGAAAATAGAAGACGAGACAGGTTGATTTGTATTTTCCCTACACCAAATTTTGTAATCGGGCAATGACCAGAATTCAGATGTTATAGCTCTCAACTAGTGCTTCTCTTACTACCACAATATAACATTTATTTTTTTTAATTTTTTAAAGAGAGAGAGAGAGAATTTTAATATTTATTTTTTAGTTTTCGGCGGACACAACATCTTTTTTTGTATGTGGTACTGAGGATTGAACCCAGGCCGCACGCATGCCAGGCGAGCGCGCTACCGCTTGAGCCACATCCCCAGCCCATAACATTTATTTTTATGCCATTAATCAGTCTATCTGCAAGGTATAGATCTGCTTCTAGGTCTCTAAGCAGCAGGTGAAGGCTATCATCCATTTCCCCTTTCCCAGATTTTACCTTTCTGCAGTTTCTTAAACATGAAGAAATCCGAAATTCGTCAACAAAGCAACAAAACAGAAAGTGATATATCTGAGGTCAATAACATGATCTAATCAAACATGGTCAATCATTTGACCCACATATATTGCATATCTACTAGGTGTATTTAAGTGCAAAAGACATAAGGAAGGTAAAATTAAGTGGTGTGTATGTGTATACACATGGGTGTGTGTGAATGATACTAAGCAGTGTTGTGTTGTTATTTGTAAATATTAATACTTTTATGATGCTATGTGGAAATTAAAGGCTAGAGAGGTTAACTGACTTATCTAGTGGTGAATGGCAGAGCTAGGACAGAACACCGCTTCCCCTGTTTCTGACTTTCAGTCCTTCCACTATTCTGGTCACTTCCAAAGGAATGGAAAGGTTTGAATGTGTCTCCCAAACACATGTGTTGGAAATTAATGCCCATTCCAACTGTGTTGAGATTAAGGAGAGGTCTTTAGGTCATGAAGAATGGATTAATGCCAATTATAAAAGGGCTGGGGCTGTGCGTTCGATCTCTTATTCTGTTTGCCCTTCTACCATTGAATGACACAGAAAGAAACCTCTCCCTAGATGCTGATTTGTCAATCTTGAACTTCCCAGAGTCCAGAACCATGAAACAATACATTTCTGTTTATTATAAATTACCCAGTCTCCAGTATTTTGTTATAGAAGCACAATATAGCCTAAGACAGGGATTCTTAAAAATTATTTGTAGAACGATAATTTTTCCATTTTGCTTTGGACTGCCTTTGTTCCCCGTGTATTATTTTTATCTCACTAAATTGAGGGTAAAAAACCTTTATTTATTTTTACATCTTTTTATTTATTTTACATCTTTTTATTTATTTTACATCTTTTTATTTATTTTACATGCTTTATTTATTTTACATCTTTTACAATCCTGGGCAGATATATGTAATCATGCATACATACTGATCCTGAAAAGATGCCATAGCAAATCTTTCCTCCATTTTTAATCAGGATTGAGAAGAAGGCTGAGCAAGTGTTTTTTTGTTCTTTTGATATGGGGTCTCAAAGTCCTGGACCAAGAGATCATCCTGCCTTTCCCTACTCAGTAGCTAGAATCATAGGTGTGCACTACTATGACTGGCTACAGAGGACAATTTTGTATTCAGTGGAATTGTAGTACATAGTACTGGAGGAATGCACTTCCAACCTCTAAGCCTACAAATTTAGAAACTGGATGGAGCATTGTTAGCAACAGCACTGGTCAGTGTTTCAATCTGAAACCATTCCACCTGTCACATCTCTTTTAAGGTCCCTGGAAACAAAATAATCTCAGAAATTATCAGCAAAATTAAGTAGCATCTCTCTTGCTGGCTCAAAGGCAGATAATTCTCAGATTCACCTGCTAAGAAAGTCCATACTTTGAAGGTATAGAGTCTGGCAATCCAAGTCAATGAGTGACGTTCAGTCTACTATCATGATCCCAAACTTTAACGAAGATCAGAATCCCCATTAAAATCCACTCTGCCAGGCCTCTTTCCCAAGTTTCTGACTCAGTAGATTTTGTGCAGCGCCCATGATTTTGTACTTGGAGAACCAATGACTTAGATTAGTACTTCCCAAACTTCAATGTGCTGTCAAGTTATCCAGAGAGCATGTTAAAATGCATATTTAAATTCAGTTAGTAGGTATACCCAAGAGCCTTTTAGACAGGTGCCCTGGGGATTCCAGGGCTGCTGATCTGTGGAATGCACACAGCTGTAGAGATTTTTTTTTTAAGGGCAGCAAAATATATGTCATTGGCAATGAGACATGATGGATTCTAACTGGAGAATCAATACTTTGGGGAGACTTGGAATAAAGTTTTAGCTTTTCCTTCCAACTGGAAAGAGAGATGGGTGCTCTGTTCATCTTTTAGAATCCAAGTCAGTTTCATCAGGTTACAGACCTCTGAACTGCTTCTGAGATGACCAAGCTGGAGGCTGCTTTCCTGCAGATTACATCAGAGGCCCCAGAGTATATTAAGTCTGCTCACTTTGTCAGCTGCTTTGGATACAGTGGACTGGTTGGCTATGAAACTGCCTAAGGGACATGATTGAAATAAGAAAAACCCTTCCATGAATGCTATAGATGTTCCTTCTGAAGAGTCCTAAGAAGATCATAAGGGACAGCTGCTCATTGCCCCCGAATGACTTCCCTGTGGCTTTGCAATAGGCTCAGTTCCCAGTACCACATTTGCTCAAAGTGCACTATCAGGCCTCTGGGAACAACTGTGACGTGCCATGGGATATGATCCCTCCAGAATGCAGATGGCACCCTCTCTACATCTCTAGCTCAACAAACCTTTATGGCTCAGCCTTCTCCTTGCTAGACTGGAGACCGAGAGAGGTAAGAATGTCGGCAGCATACAGTTGACTCCAACTCTGTTCACTCAGCATCAAAATGAGGCCAATCAGCAGTGTGAAGACAACACGAAATGCAGAATCTCAGGCCCTGAGATTCAGAGTGAGCATTTTAATTAGCTCCCCAGTGGGCCTGCAAGCCCGCTGAAGTTTGAGAAGCATTGTCCTAGCATACCATAGCTCGAAAAGGATACAAAATGGGAACAAATTCTGCTGATCTGAGCTGCCTGTTAAAGAACCTAGGATAGAATGTGTCTCCATGAATGTGGTTTGCATAGCACCTTGATCATTAGTTCTAAAGGCACATTAGAAACCATAGAATTAATTTCAGAGACAATTGATAGAGTCCATCAAAACACCCCCACCTCTATAATCTGCTTGGTATAGTAAATATAGATGACATACATATATACCAATTGTGAAACTTCTTTTATGTGCTCATGTTATATAATTTAAGATAATTCATAAAAGTATATTCAATCATATTGATTAACTTAAAGTATCCATTTGCTCCCTTGCTTAGGGCTATATTTTATGACCAGGTCCATTGTACAAAAAATTTAGTAAAAAAATTTGGATTTCTTTTCTTTGCCTATTAAAATCACTTAAACAATTTGTTGACTTCAAGTTAAAGTAGGTTTTGGCTTGAACTATTCCACTTTTTTGCCAATATCTTCAATTTTGCTGATAATCTAATATAAAAATTTGGATAACTTAAATGAAACTTAAATAAAGTTTGCTAAATTACAGGTTGGGGGTTATGATTAATAGGCAGGGGAGGCACATAGGTCCCCTGAGTTTTGTCTGTGCTGAGTTTGTATCTTGCAAGCTATTGTGGTATTTCTGGATCCTCCCAGTATGCTTGTTGGAACTTTCTAATGCAACTATGACATTAGTAGTTCTCAAACTGTGGTCCCTAGGCCAACAATATCACCGGGGAATTTTTCAGAATATAAACTTGGGCCTTACTGCAGAACTACAGAAATGGAAACCCTGAGGTGAGGCCCAGAAATTTTCTTTCACTAAAACCTGCAATAAATTCTTACATGCAGAAGGAAGTTTGCTATAACACAGTAGCACTTACCAGGAAATCACAGGACTTGCAAATCCAAAGCAACTAGAGGTTTAGATATGGCAGTAAATTGGCACTAATACCCATATCAACTTTGCATCAAATTACAGTCCTGGATCTTCATTAATAAATAAAATATTTTGATGAAATTGAGTAATTATCATTGGATATAGCATACATTTGAGTTTACAAAGCTATATATTGACTCAAGGTTTGAAAAAGAAATTTTACCATAATCAAATAAGCACCAGCCTCAGAATTCAGGTGTCTTGGTTTTATCCTGATTACTGCCTGAGCTGCCCATTTGGCTTTAGATAATTAAAGGAATTCTATGTGGCCGGTTCCTCCCCAAATAAGAATAATATTTGTGCTACAAACTTCAGTTTTGTCACAAATATATAATCAAGTAAATTATATGAAGATGCTTAAAAAGTATAAAGCACATAGATCATCATGCACTTTAGCATATATTCATAATCATCAAATCCTAGAATTTCGTTTTAGGATAAAATTGCACTTTTTTCACTTTGCAACCACCACAAAGGTCAAAATTTAAAGCTCTATAGGGTGAGTTTTAAAAATGCATTACTTGGAAAATTTTTGAAAATGCATGACTTAGAAATGCTTTAAAAACTCTCAAAGTTCTCTGGTATAGTTATTACACAAGACTATTATGTCATAAGTCAGATAAATAATCTATTCAGTTAAAGGAATATTGTAAACTTTTTTAAACTTTTTTGGAAATTTTGCCTGAAAAAATCTTTAGTAGTAGCCGGTTGCAGTGGCACATGTCTATAATCCCAGAGGCTTGGGAAGCTGAGACAGGAGGATTGTGAATTCAAAGGCAGCCTCAGCAAAAAGTGAGGTGCTAAACAACTCAGTGAGACCCTGTCTCTAATAAAATACAAAATAAGGCTGGGGATGTGGTTCAGTGGTTGAGTGCCCCTGAGTTCAATCCCCAGTACCAAAAAAAAAAAAAACTTTAATATGTTAAAACTATCCAAGTTATAAAATATAACTTCTTTGTAATAATACAACTTCTTTATAATAATTTTGAAGTTTGGGTGAAAACTTCTATATGATTGCCTACTTATTTTAAAAGTGTTTATTTAAGAGAGTTAAAATTAAACTAAAATTGACTATGTTAGACACCCATTTTATTTTGATGAGAAAAGATATAATAACTTCAATTTAAGATGAATATTGAACATTCATCATTATCGAAACCATGTCAACTGATTTATGTACTAAAGCTAAATTCTATGTCAAGAACTCATCTCCTGATTATTTTATTTGACTTACCCCCAGGAAAGTATCCACTATAAACACTGCCAGTGGGTCCAGAACTGTCCATAGTCCCATGGCGATGATCAACTTTGACAAGGCGTCAGGGCAGGAGGCAAACAGCAGCTGACAGCCCCATCTGATCAGAACCAAGAGGAATATGATTGTGTTCAGCATCAAGGGCCCCGCCACAACCACAGGCAGCTCCTCTTCCATGCGAAGCAAAGAACTTGGGTAGCAAAGCTCAACTGTGTAGGGGTAAAAGTGGAATCTGCAGGAAAACAAAGCAATCACATGCATACAAACAGGAAGGAAAATGCCCATTGACTAGACACTCTACATATACTTAAGAGCATCCCCAAATTGTAAGAAGTCTTTATCTTTTCCTGACCCTAGAGTACCACCTAAACACTTCACCTTCAAGGAACAGGTGAATTCTACCTGGTTCATGCTTATTGTTAAATAATACAGAAATGATTTAACCATAGAAAGTATGTCAATTTAAGCCACTGAGCAGAGCAGTCTAGAAGCTAAGAGCTTCCTTGTAGTGTACAGTACTGATTAGTAGGCTATTTGAAATACAAAATATCCAGTGGACTTTCTAATGAACCATAATCGAACAGAAATGAGGTTCAATCAAATATTCTTCAGTTTTAGTGTAGGCTTATGGTTCCTCTAGATAGAGTCTCAAATACAACAACAATAATACCACCATCACTCACAACCAAAATTTTGTACTAAGAAGTCAAGTTCAGCTGGGCATGGTGGAACACACCTGTAATCCCAGCCGCTGGGGAGATGGAGGCAAGAGGATCACCAGTTCAAAGCCAGCCTCAGTAAAAGCAAGGTGTTAAGCAACTCAGTGAGCCTGCATCTAAATAAAAAACAAAATAGGGCTGGGGATATGGTTCAGTGGTAAAGTGCCCCTGAGTTCAATCCCTGGTACCAAAAAAAAAAAAAAAAAAACAAAGTCAAGTTGATACAAGCTGAGGACCAAGAAGCTAAGTCCAAGCAGAGTCCAGTAATTCAACCAGTCTCCACCCAGACTTTGGCACCACGTCTCTGTGCAAGCTGAGACTTCTTTCATGCAGTTTTCTCTCCCGAGTCTCAGGCTGAGTAACACTGTTTCATGGTTATTTCTGTTGGTGTGTCCTACTCATCAGCACTCTGCTAAAGAGTTTTTCTTTATATCCATTCTTTGACTTTTGCTTCAAAGGGAGTTTTATGCTTTGTTCTCACACTGCTATGAATTTCAAATCACATGTGTCCATTGCTTAGCACAGAACTGACACACAGAGAGCGTGAAAAAAAAAAATGCTCATTGTGTTGTTATTGCTGTGTCTCACGACTAAGATGTGACAAAGGGCTATTATATAATTCAAGCTCATGGACCAAGAGGATAGCCAGAAATACATCTTAAAATATCTTTTTGTTTTTTGATGGTAGGGAGTGGTTACCAAGGGGTTCTTTACCACTGAGATACATCCCCAGCCTTTTTCATTCTTATTTATTTTATTCTGAGACAAGGTCTTGCTAAGTTGCTGAGACTGGCCTTGAACTCGCGATCCTCTTGCCTCAGCCTCTCAAGTTGCCAGGATTACAGGCATGCGCCACAGCCGCCACCATAATATCTTAGGTCCTTGGTTGCTTAAGAAATTGGTTAAAATGGTCTGTCGAGTTGTTTTTTGCAGTCTCATTTTATTAACAAACTATAACTGTAATAAAAATAGGCCTGCCTTTCCAATGAAGAGTAAAACAGCAAACACTGAAAAGCAACTAGCCCCAGCATATAAGATTTGCCTTTTTGGCTTCAGAGAACTTGATGAGGAAGAAAAAAAAAAAAAGGGCAGAGAAGGAGGACGACCCATGTAAAAATTCCTGCTTAAATATTCAGTTATTCAGTATGTAGAAATTTGCATAATCTATACCATATATATTTGTGATTTAATTCTGTAAAACTATCAAAAACTTGATGTGCACACAAATGTACACAGATATTCCTCTTCATAAAGTCTTAAAGTTCTTTTCAGACTTCTTAATTGAAAATATACACACATCTTTATTTTTATCTGCACCATCTACATTTGAGAAAAATGAATTTTACTTGTACTGTTATCTATCTGTTTGTCTATCTACAATGTCTATGGAATCATGTTTATGGAGGGATAACCTTTAAAGCGTCATCTTTTTCTATAGGATAATGGCCCAGAAAGCTGCCTGAGCTCGGGTTTGGTAATTGTTTGGATTCAATCATTTTCGTAGAAGAGGCAATCTTTGCTGCTCGGAACATAGATAATAAATCAGACTTATGCTACTTCTAAAATACCTTCAGCCTAAGTCACTCTGATAAAATCAAAATAGAATAAAAGATTGTTGTTCAATTCCTCTTTGGGTCCTGCTCTTATATTAGAACATATTTGAATCTGCTAAATTTTAAATAAATATTGATGTACCTGTTACGTATTTGTATGCACACAACCAACCATAAGATGAAACTATAACTGTAATAAAAGTTCTTGCTCTCCAATACAGACAGTTTTGCCTTTTCAAATCATACCTGCATTTTAGGTCTTCTGGTAAATGGATGGGAGAAGTACTTTGTGCTCTCATTTGTCCTATCAAGATGAAAATACATTCCTTTGACGTTCAGGGGAAAGCACTCACTTTGTAACTGGAGTTGAAATGGCCCATAGGAAAAGCCACTGGCCAAGGTAATGCAGGTAGAGCCTCAGGAACCAGAGAGAAGCCATCAGCAGGATGATGTACCAGAAGCCCTGGCTCTGCCACTGAGCTAATTGAAGTTCTGAAAACACCAACACCAGCGCAAAATGGAGATGCTGGAAGAATTCTCCAGATCCCCGACCTGCAGCCACTGAAGAACAGCTACAAAACCCAAGAAGAAACAGGTCAATCCTGCGCTTACAGAAAAACCCAAAGTGAAATATTCGAACTGTAACAAGGAAGACACTGTGGCAATAAAATTAAATACAATTATTTTCAAATACTTGGAACTCAAAAAAAATTTGTGTTTCTTTTTGCTGTAATAGATGACTAAAGAAACATGAATTAGGGAAGTGTAAATCAAAACTGCAGTGAGATAGGATTTTTCACCCATTAAGATGGCCGTTTAGAAAAAAAAATAAACAAAATAATAAGCATTAGTAAGGATGTGGAAAAGCTGGAATCTTCGTGTATTACTGAAAATGTAAAATGGCACAACCACTATAGAAAACATTATGGCACATACCACCCAAATTAAAAATATAGTTACCATGTGTGAACCAGCTATCCAACTTGTGAAAATACATCTAAAAGAACTGAAGGTATAGAAATGATATTTGTTCATTCCTGCTCATAGCTACATGGTTCACAATAGCCAAGATGTGGAAAAACAAGCTTCCATTGGTTAATGAATGAAAAAACAAACCATGATATTCACACAATAGAGTATTATTCAGCTTTAAAAAAAAGAAGGACATTCTGACCCCTGTACTACAAGAGGGAGCCTTGCAGACGCTGGGCCAGTGGGATCATCCAGCCATAAAAGCACAGACACCAATGGCTCTGCTTCAATGAGGTATCTATAGTAGTTAAAAATCATAGTAACAGCAAGTTGAATGGGGTTGCCTGGGTCTGAGAGGAAGGGAAACAGGGATGTGCTGTTTAATGGGTATGGAGTTTCAGTGCAGCAAGATGAATAAGTTCTCCAGATTAGTTCCATAGCGATGTGAAGAAACTTATCTACACCCTTAAAAATGACTAACATTGTAAATTTTATGCTGTGTGTATCTTACCACAATTAAAATGTTTTAAAATGAACATGGAAACAAATTATTATAAACATTGGACTTCTTTAATTTTTCATAAATTTTTAAAGCCTTGAATATATGCCCCCAGTTATCTCACCTACCCATTGTGGTCATTCTTCATTATAACAAAATTTATTTTTATGTGACTTATTAAAGATTCAATATTTCACATTCAAAATTGAAGTGAGTTATTAATGTACTCCCCAAAATGCTTAAATAAGAATTTAAAACTTAAGAAACATTTTATTCCTTGACACACTATGGGCATTTTCTGTTGAAACTAAGTAAGTATAAAAGAATCAGTACCAAGTATTCTGCTCTAACTTTCAGGTTGAGGATTAAGAGCAAGCTTGTGTTCAAAGTTTTCAAAATCATAGTTTTGTTTTTTATAGGAAACCTGGGTAAAAATGAAGTGATCCCTTTTATTTTTTTTAAAGAGATATAAACATGTACATGCAAATATTCACTATTTAATTAAAGCAGTGAAAATCATTAGTCTATGTCATGCATTTAATTAAATCTGGAATTGTTCTTTATAAGAACGAGGCTCTAAATTTCTGTGTGAGCGTGTCTAATACTATTTTAGAAAGATTTTTCTAGGATGACTCAGTTATTTCCTCAACCAAACAGTGCTCTAATAATAAACATGTCACCAAAGGAGAAACTAGTACTGGAGTCAGTAGTCCAGTGACGTAGGGACCAAGTCAGGGGCTGTGCTAGCTGCAGAACAGAGACATAACTCGCAGACATTTTCAAAAGATTTGACACAAGAAAGCTCATCGCTTCCTAATGATGATCAAATATGCTGACAATCCTTCCACGGGAAGAGAAGATAAGTGAGGAAATGGGAGTCTAACAACAGCAACATCAGCAAGCAGACAGCGTGATGACAGCCTTTTGGTGTGCACAGGAGGGACATGACATGACATTGACAATTGCTTTTTGCTGTTCATGAAGATGTGAAGCATCACCTCTCTGAAAACCAGTGTTACACTGAGCATGCTTTTCAGTTACACAAATGAGGCACAGTTACCCAGGAAGCAGACCTCCAAGAGGCTTTGCTTTACACACAGAGACAGAGCCAGGGGACCACGGCTCTGAGAGAAGGATCCCAGGATGCCTTGCTGCATTCGCCATCATGTGAAATGAAACCCAGAACCTTCTACACAGCTAAAGCAAAATATCCTGAACATGATCTCCCTTCCAGTTAATTATTCTGTCACTGTTTTGCCTCTTCAAAGGGAAGAGGAAATTAAATACAGACTCGGCAGTGTGTTGTTTGCAAAAAACTGGAAAATCTCAAGTGATGTAAAACAGAAAAGACAGTAGCTTCTTTGACCTTTGGAAAATTCCACTGTTCTGTATCCTTTGACATAAATGACTAAGCAGTTGAAGTGCTCATGCACAGAAACCACTATAAAATCATGCTTTCACCATTAGTTTCACTAATAAAACTGTTCTCCACCCACACTCTGAAATGCATTTTTTTTTTGTTTTTTGGTTTGGGGGCCTTTTGGTATTAGGGATTGAACCCAGGGGTACTTTACCACTGAGCCACATCTCCAGCCCTTTTTATTTTTTTTATTTAGAGACAGCCTCTCTTGAAGTTGTTTTAGGGCCTTGCTAAATTGCTGAGGCTGGCTTTCAACTTGCGATCCTCCTGCCTCAGCCTCCCGAGCCACTGGGAATACAGGCATGCACTGCTATGCCTGGCTGAAATGCATATATGTTTATCAGACTTTTGATTTAGAACAAATAACACCAAAATTTCGGTAGGGTACAATTTATACCTGTTTCATAATGTTCAATTATCTCATTGCTAGTCAATACATTACAATATTTGTTTTTATTCATGTCACAATGGTAACCACATCATGCCAATTCAAAGAACTAGGAAAAATCTTGAACCCATCATTAGGAATTTAAAATTTACATACTGCAATATTAAAAATTTAATTGAACAATTAAAGGGAATCAGGTGTATTCTTATAAAGAAAACCGATACAACAACAAGGGATCATTTTTGCATTTGCACCTGAAATTTCATTGTGGGCTTATGTAAAATTACATCCACAGCCATCTTTCCACATATTGTTCTTGAAATATATTTCATTCCAAACAACTCTGCTGCCATGTTTCAAAACTGTCTTGAAAGAGCATCCTTTTTTTAAAAATTTTTTTTATTCTTGTAAACATGCAAGGCATATTACGAGAGGCAGGGCCACTGTGAGATCTCTCCATCCACATTTCCACTGCTCATTCCTTTCTCTGTAATCTTTCTTGGTTATGTACCAAAGAGTATGACCATCAAAAGGATAATAAATGGCCTCTGCCACTGGGGTGTGTAATACGTAGAGTGGGAATTGATTTGTTCGTTATGAAGGAAGCCATAGAGCACACAGATCACTGCAAAATCACATTGAGGCCAGCAGTTACTCCTTGGCGCATGCAGACAGCTCCTCTAGAGCTCACGGGGTGAGCTGCCAGAGGGGGAGAAGAATGGGGAGGTCATCCAGTATTCAGCTATTAAATGAAACCTATTTCTCTGAACTTCAGCCGCATTTCACATGACACACATAGATCCCCCCTTGCATGCACCTTCCTTATGGAGACCTGGAATCAAACAAGATTTCTACGATCCATCAGTGTAATCATATAACATAAAGAAACAAAATTGCTTTGGAAAAAAAAAACACAGAATGCATTCTTAAATTCTCTTCTATAATGAACAGAGATCCTTAAGGAATTTGTATATAATGAAGATTTTTTTTTACTCATCTACTGTGCATGATAATTCTTATTTAAAAATCATTACCAATAGATGGCACTAAAATTTCCACATTTCCTTCCTCTGGCATAACCAAATATGTGCCAGATGTAGCATTTTTAAAAAATTAATATCTTTTAATTATAATTATCAATAAATAGCTATGTTATTGGGTTTTTAAATTTTTTTATTATTCACAATAGTCCATTCATCAGCAGGTTTTTGAGCATGGATGTCCTCAAAGATTTTGAGGCCTTCTGAGATGTATTATTCAGCATTTTAGAAAGTCACAAAATTTAAGCTGTCGAAGAAGCAGGTGTGGGTCGCCCATGGTTCTATTGGAGAAGAACTCCTCATGTTCCCTTAGATTTTTGCAGAAGCTAAACTAAAGCCCAAACCCAGTTAAGTGATTTGCCCATGTTAACACAACTGCTAACCAAGAAATTTCCCACCATATTCTCTTGCCTTTCCATTAGGACTCTTCATCTTCACCTTCTGAATTCAGCAGAAAACACCAGGATCAAGAAATATTAGGATATTGTGAGCACCTTTGCCTGAAACCCGAAAGAAGGAAGTGTCTGTCCCTTTGTAGGCGCTGGTGGAATTGGATACAGTTCACTCACTCAACAGGTTGCCATTGAATGAAATACCTCATGCCCCAAGATCGTGCAATTGGCAGAATAACACCCCCTGCCAACATCACCTGCCTTAATCCCTGCAACCTGTGATTATGTGCAATTACAGGGCAGTGGGGAATTAAGTTGCAGAAGGAATTAAGTTGCTATACCGCTGAGCTTAAAGATGGAAGAGGGTAGCAGAAAAGACAGAGAGAAAGAGAGAGAGAGAGCCAGAAAAGGGGCAGTGTGAGAAAGAGTTAGCTTGAATCTGTAGGCTTTGAAGATGCAGGTGAGCCAAGGAATTGAGGACAGCCTCTAGAAACCAGAAAGGGTAAGGAAACCTCCTCCCTGGTGCCTCCAGAAGAACACGTTGTTTCTGCCGACACCTCGATTTCAGCTCCATGAGGCACATTTCAGAATTCTGACCTCTAGAACTGTAAAACAATAAATCCATGTTGTCTTGAGGTCACAGGTTTGTATAATTTGTTCCAATAGCAACAGAATACTCGTGCAGATAGCTTCCCATCAATAAAAATAGCACTCTAGCACTGTCAGACCCACAGAATTTTTTAGTCTATTGGGAGTGACACACAAGTGAAAAGATAAATAAAATACAGAGATCAACCCAGCGTGGGAAGTCCTTTGACAATGCACAAAGTGAAATCAGAAAACAAAGGAAGGTTCCTCTAT